TCAGCAAGAGCTCAGGAAAGAGGGAAGATTGGAAGGACTTATAATCTTATATAAATAATTTTATAATATAAAAAGGACGCGATGCGCACGTTCACTGTCGCTTATTACATTGGTCATAGATAGAAATTTTCGTAGAATTAGATAAATTATGAAATAAATACGAATATAAACGGAATCTTTGTGAAGGAATTACCAGTGATTCCCAAATAATCGAATATTAGCTGTTATTACAATTTTTCTTTTGTTCTTATCTGCGAAAATATGGTTGCTTAAACCATATTTTAAAATTAAACATTTTACATAATATATTTACTTTTAAAAAACGTTAAGAAATGCATTGATATAGACGTGCTAATTAATATATTAACTTTCTTTATAAAAAAAAGGTAAGAAAGGAGAAAATAAATAAAAAAGTAGAAAAATATTTGTAGAGGATAAATAAGAAAAATAGCTATGAAGAGAGACATTGTTGTAACATACAACTATGAAATCTCTCCTGCGATACAACAAAGATCTTATCGGAAATCACTGGATTACATTAAGAAGGATATGTTCCAATGCCTACAAGGATAGTATAAAGCGCAAGTTTTTCATCGAAATGGTATAGAATCAGAAATGTGTACGAGACTTTGTTTAATATGTGTGTATGTGTGTATGCGCGCCTCGCAACGATATATACTAACATACAAGCCACTGACTCCGATCACTCTTAGTAACACTAAGTAAACGCTATGGCATCATGATAATCACCGAAGGTGTCCTTATATCAAAATCGTTAGATAATAGTCATATATGTATATACGAACGATTAGCGCGTGCGCCTGTTTCGCTTGATACTCGGATATGATCAATTCGTACATGTTTTCACCGTGTTCACCGTTGAATCTTGCATCTCTATCTATTTGAAAAGAAAGACTAATAAAAAGGACAAAGCAATTAGTTCGAACGAAGCTAAGATACTCATATCCCACATTCAGCTAGATCTAACTTATTTCTTTCATACCTATGTGAAGATTATGCAGTTGCATAAAGTTAATCCGAATAACTGTTAATTATTGAGAAATATTAGTTGTTAATCTTATGCTTATGACCTTGAAAAATGTTACGATATCAGGTTTAATATCGCACATTCATTAATTATGTTATTTTCGATGAAAATATTAAATGTGAGATACGAATATAAACTTCAGCTTGAGAACTATTTAGGAATATTTTTTAAAAGTCTTGAGTGAATCATTATTAAAAATCCCTTCCAATTTTTCGCTTATAGAAAAGTTACTGACACCAGCCGCTCTTAAGGCATGAGAACCGATTGCAGATGACAATGAGTGTATGTCTATAGATTTAATATTATAAAATAGATAAATAAAATGTTCGCAATTTTGTAAGCTCTGGTTACTTTTTAAGCCGATACATGTAGATTAAATTATAAGAAAAATTCATAAAAAAATCAATTATCGGATAGAAGAATATGTTTTTGCAATCGGTTCAAAAACTATTCAACTTTAACTGATATGGTAGAATTCTGTATAATGTGATATGAGACTATATATTTTACTTCTTTGTTTTACGCAAGTTTAAGCCACTGTACCGAGTGCCCACATTGTATCAGTCAGCACAAATTTTACCATGTTATTAACAAAAACTTTTCACTTTTGTTCTTTTCGTGTAAGATAAATCTAATTCTTCAAATATAGCTTAATATATCTCTTTTGCCCGGTTCTAGGAAAATCCGATTGGGTGATTTGTTTTTGTCATATCCATTAAGGATCGATTATATGTATATGTACATTAAGCTTGACGCATCGACGGTGACCGCGGGGCATTCGTAAGATACGTATTATCATCGGGCGAAAGGCAACATACATCGCATTGATTAATATTTTATATATTTATATATATGTATTATAATAATTACGTTGTAAGACTAGATTCTCGGCGGAATACTCTCACATTGTTTCGACTTTTCTTAAGTTTTTTTTTGCCAATTTAACCATGTGATCATATTCATTTCGCCATGTTTTACGACAACGGGGCGTCGTCAATTGTTTGTTCGCCGAACGCCGTTCGCCGCCGATGGATTAGATTTTAGATCACTATTGTCCCACGTGATGTGCTGACACACAACTTACAGAGAGTTACATACATACTTAGACACCGTAGTCCTTAGATACGTACATAGCTATAGATTTCCTGGCTGATCCTTGGAGTAGGTCGTTCACACTTAAATTGTCTCTGCTTCATTTCATTCGATCGTTTAGCGGTGATCAGTTTTATTATGGAAAACAACGGAACTGTGGATGAGTTTGTAACTATTCTAATCGATCGGGAAGAACAAACGATTTTTTTTCTTTCTCTTCGTATGTTATGAGAAAAAGTATATATAGACTAAGTGAACTCTGCTATACTACCTACGAATTGTTTTCTTTAAAAGTTCACCTTCAGATTTTATAGTAATATTCAATAATTATATATTTTATTAAGGTAAAGAATTCATACCGATAAAATAAATATAAACAAAATTAATTATACCACAAAAAATAAAATTTATATCAATTATAAAATATGCTTTTGTTTCGTACTTATAAATTTACATAGTTTTTATCAAGAATTCGCTCTACTTTGATTCATATGCGTTATTGATTAATTATTATGTAAGAAATGATCGATCAATTTTTTATCATATTTCGAAAAATGGTTATCTCAAAAATAGTTTTTTTTCACTATTTTTCACTTATTCGGCGTAAATAATAAGTTTATATTTGTTTTATACTAATAATCCAGTTGTAGACAATATTCACTTAGTTTATACACACTTTCAACAAACGCATCAGTTACATGTTTTCTTTTTGTATCTAGGTATAAATGCGGATACACTATAAAGATGTGTTTGTGTATGTGCGTATATATGGTATTTTCGAAATAGCACCTAAGTATATGTATGAAACAGCCATAAAAATGTTTGAACATATTCCTGACATTTCGAATATTGCTGAAATATTGCGATAAATTAGTGACTATAAATAAAATTTAAACTGAACAGTTATATTACAAAATGAAAGGATTTTTTCATATTATACGGTCGACTTCGACATTTTGGATAATATTTTTATGATAAATATACAATTATACACTTGATATGGCAAGTATATATATATATATATATACACACACGTTACAGTATCCCGTAACAGATACAATACCTAGATACAAACGTTTAAAGCAAGAGCGCATTTAATTAAGATACTGTATCTCGAGGCTGTACTTAAAGTATATCGACATATTAGGTACTAATGTCAAGGTGCTTCATATACCCAGTTACCGTTTCACTTCAACGGTACCATACACGCATGTGGACGCATTCGCATGATGAAAGTACTTTTGGCAGAATAAAAAGTGCCGCGACGTACTTAAAAAGATCGTGGAGAAGAATGAAGGATAATTCAAAAGCGATATCAGAGAGCAGTGAGATATCATTCGAATATCGTTGACTATATAACGTATACGCGTATTTTGTCATCGACACTTCTTCTCTTTTGGTACAACCAAACTAGATGTATTTCTCGTCGAACGACATGTCGAACGATTCGCGAATCTCTATTAGCCATACAAATGTAACATTAAACCTGTAAGTCCATATATAATTAACATGCGCTCTATCGTATCTATATATATATATATATATAATATATATATGTACAGTCTTACAAAGCAAAATTTACAAACATTACGACGTACGGTCGATCGAATAAATATGTCCTCTGATGCGACTGGGTCGGGTCGCAAGTGAACGCTTCGTCGTATTTCAATTGCGCCTTGCATACCGATCTCGGCTAACTGATTGACAGCTCGTTTTGTTCAGTGAACTGAAAGAGCTCACTGTTGACGACGTCGCATGTTGAATATTGAAGCGAATATTGTATAAAAATTAAACATTGGCAGAAACAATGAAGAAGAAACACGCACTGGTATAAAATTTTCCTTTCTTTGTTTCTCCATGTACGGAAAACATATTAGTTTTCTATGTAATAAATTCAAAGCCTCTTTTCACTGTGTTAAATACAGAAATTGCACGCTGACAGGCGTAAGACTTTCGCGAGGATTCTGTGAATTACTTTCCGCGAATTTTACATTAAAAAATTCGGGAAATTAAAAATTGTTTGACTTGTTATAATTAGTTTATGGCATAAAATTCGACGTAAAGGATGCAAAAATATCTAAAAGTTATACGAAAATAAGAAATATTAGGGAATCTTTGCGACTCAACGTGCGTATTATCGGATGCATGCGCGATCAAAATACATAGCATCTCGAATTGTCTGACGCTCGTTAACTTGTGGCCAGACGAAGGGAGGAACCGTGGTAGCGGAGAAGGGATCGAGCGAGAGATCAAGATGGCACGGGGGCAAGAGCGAGGATCCACGATGATCCTGCATGAAACGAAGCTCGCAGCGAGAAACGTCGTAATGCCGCGTGACGCTTTCGTCATCGAGCGAGCAATCTATCTACCCCACCAGCCACCGACAGTCAGTTTTTTTTAAAGCCTCTTACGTATGTATAAACAGTTCTCCGACTATTCATTACGCTAGCAAATTTTCGCAGTCGCGATACTCGAATACTACACTTCGCATGTATACTAAAATACATAAGTCATGATAAAGATTAAATCTATTAAACTTATTATTAGTCCAAGATTTAAAATCATTAAAGAAAATATGTTTCGTAAATAAATAACAGCAAAAGTACTAGCAAAATAAAAAAGAAAAAAAAAAGATACTCAAAGTTGAATCGTTTTGATAACGATAATTTGTAAATATAGTAAAAAAATATAGTAAAAAATATGCATCTTCGTGTCTATAATATAAAATATTAATGTACTATAACATTAATATAAAATATTAATGTACTATAACATTAATATAAAATATTAATGTACTGTTACATTAATATAAAATATTAATATAAAATATACATACAATCTCTTCATTTTATTATCGCGTATTACATTTTACGTATCATTATTTACGTATCGGTGTGATAAAATACGTATATATATATATCGGAAAATTATATCATACTTGAGGAACTTTCACCCGTTGCGCCGAAAAATTGCTAGCGGTCGTAACAAATTGTCGAGAGACTGGGTGAATCGTGTGCAAAAGAATTATTCCTTTCTTAAGTTTTTGTTAATATGAACGTATGTGTATGTGTGTATGCGTATGCGTTTGCGCGTTACTCTTGATGTGCTGCTAGGAAGCTGACTAGATTAAGTCTAAAATACGAAATATCCGGGAAATTATCGTTTTCGATTATAGCGGAATCTCGTTCCCGCGAGAGTGAGTTGTCGCGAATTTTCAATAGAATTCTCAAGAGAAAAAAAAGAAGCAACTCAACGCGTTCGCTGTATCTACTAACGAGGATCCCGGTGTTCCGTATCGACGTTGACTACTACTCGACCTTTGGAAAGGTCGAACGGCCTCACCTAGGCATTCGACTCTTTCAGATTGTCGAAGTACTGCATAATCTGATTGTAGTCCATACCTAGATTAAGGTCATCGAGAGCCACCGATTCTTCTTGTTCCTGGGAAGAGGATGAAGCGCAAGAGGAGCTAGAGGAGGATGAGGAGGAAGAGGCGGACGGTGACGAAGATGGCGGAGATGTTGTGGTAGACGAAGCCGCACCGCCAGTAGGAGTAGATGAGTTTACGGTAGAGACAACGGTGGATACCACGGCGGAAGTGGAGAACGACGAGTACATTGGATTACCAACTATAGTCGCCCTCTTAATTTCCCGTGATCTCCCAGCATCCTTTGCGAGGTGTCTATTGTTATCGTCGTGATTCACCAACTCCACGAATTCCTCGTCCTCGCCATTCTGCTTGTTTGCGTTGTCTACTTTAGTTTTCCCATGCGACTTGACTATATGATTTGACTGCTGCGGTGCTTTACTATTATGCCGATGATTATTTCCGTGATGACCGCTGCTGCCACCGCTAGACGCCCTATGGCGATGCTTCCGTGGCGCAGGCGGTTCTGGTAATCGTACGCCCACCCCCGTGTTCCTATGCGGCGGTACCGGTGGCTTGTAGTCTTCGTTATTGCCGTTGTTTGTGCTGACCGTCGTGGTCGCTGTAGTTGTCGTTGTTGATGTCGAGTTCGTGATCGGCACTCCGTGTGGTGGCAAGGGCGGAGGAATATCGTCGTTGCTAGAAAAAATTTGTAATAAGGTTTACGCACTCGTGAAGCTATCGCTATAGGTAATACTATCAATTCACTAGAATTGTTAGTAGAATTGTTAGACGCTAAAAGTAATATACAAAAAGAAGTCACTTACAACGAATTGTATGATATTCTGTTTAAACTTCTTGTAATACAGTATTAGTAAATATCATACAATTTGTTGTATAAGAAATTTCTTCTTGGATATCATTTTCTTCTCTGCTAGAAGATATGTATTTAACTTGTTTGCAAAAAATAAATCTTCCGCATGAAGAAGAACAACGTCAATCATAATTACTCGTTTCGTGTGGTAGTCGGAACCACAATCGACACCGTTGTTGTTGCTGTCGTAGCCGTTGTAGGCGGTATCACCGCGGATGGTTTGATCGCGGATTTTGCTGCGAAACTGTTTCGCGCTACTCGGTCCCTTTTGGAATAAGTGGTGGTGTCGATGGCACTGGTACCGCCGCTAGGCCGCTGATTGGCAGACGGTAGCTCGATGTGGTTCGGATTGTCGAAGCATGTACCCAATTCAGCCTCGGGTTCCCCTTCGCCGGCCAGCGGATTACTCGTTACGCGTACCTGCAACATAAATCGAGTTTTTTCAATCAAATTGTTTCAACAAAATCTCTGTTTTTAAAACAATTTGCCATCGGGTTACTGAAATGCGCAAAGATATTTACAGCACCAAATCTCATCGAAAATTCGAATTGATTTCAATTACCGGATTAATCCTAAATGTACTCGTTGGACCGTTATCGCTATATCGATGTTATAAAATTTCATTTGTTATTCTTCAATTTGTTAGTAATCTTTAATAATTTTATGACATTAAATATTTAATACTTATGTTGAAAGAAATAAACAAGTGTGTCAAGAAATTAATGCGAATAATACTATTACTGTTATTTGTTAAAAAAAGATAGTAAATGGAAGCATGACATAAATAAAATAAATTTAACAAATATGAATTAATTTTTTTCAAAACTTAACTACTACTAGAAATCATTCTATATATTTATTTACAAAATAATGTATATATCTTACTAAAATAAGTGCGATTTTCTGGTCTCATTGATTTAAATTTTAAATAATAGACTAACATAATTACATCTAATAGTGCTATCAAGTCATTTGAAAGTTTCGAAATTAGTTTTAATAGGTAATGATTATCGATGGCTTCATTTACGGTTTCACTCACAAATCATTAAATTCACACCGACATGCGTACCTGTTGCGGACCGCAGGCAGCTCGTTCGAGAGTCGCTCTACCTAGCCATACCCAATCGTGTGCGTTGGTGGTCGATTCGCGTGGCGGTCGTCTGCCAGATGCCAGCTGGTTTGCAGCAGCACGCGCCCTCGCACCCGCGCCAGAAAGTACCGGAACGGCCGCGCCGGTCAGCGGGGAGTCCGGTGGCTGGGGCTTGAACTTGCTGGCGTACACCACGCAGGAGACGACAAAGACAACGATCGCGAAGCAGAACGCCGCGAGCAGCACGTACATCCCGATCTCGAGCGGACTCATCCGCGTCCCGACGCCGTGGTGACGCACGCCGACGCCGCCCATACCCCCTGAAGACATGCCATTAGCTATAGCCGTGCGATGCTGCCGTGCCTGCACCAAAGGCTCGTGCTCGTGCCCGTCTTTCTCGTCTTTCAGCGGTAACCCTTTGCACAGAAAAAACAAAGAGAGAGAAAGAGAGAGAGGACAGAGTGAGACGGGATACTTGTGCTGAGTTAGAGAGCCGCTGAAAATCTTTCTCCCTTGATGCTTCCAGCTAGACAGCGGCTAGACATGCTATGTCGGATATGCCAAGTTCGTGAGAATGCTGAATGTGCGTCTGTACTTTTGGCGGTACAATTGGACTCTGACATGTAGTGATTTGACATTATACTGTGCACAATATACAAGTAATTTCAATTTTTCGAATTATTTAGAGATAAGAGGAAGAAAAAAATCATATATTTAAAAGGTGTCCCAAGATTTTCAATTTCTAATTCTCACTTGGATTCAGAATCATCTTTATGTTGCCAGGATCAAGAAATTTACATCCAACTTTTCTTCGGTTAAATTTTACATAGTTCATAAATCGTATAAGAATATATTCAGATATTTCATGTTGTATGATTCAATGATGTTATACTTCAACGATCTGTAATGATCTGTAATGTGTTGCGTCACAATTTATTCTAGGAACTAGACGCATTTGACATTCAGCGTAAAGGAGGAAGACTATCAGTTACGAAGGACTGGACGGAAACCGTGAAGAGAGATCACGTATAAATAGGCAGGGAACTTTTACAAGCCAAATAGTCTTGCGAAGAAAGTTTCCGTTAAGAAATGCAGAACAAAGTGCATATCATGCGTTATGTGGCAGTTATAAAGCGTAGAAAAGAACGGAAAAAATGAAGAGAATGCCAAAGAAGCGAGATAGAAAGGCAGAAAGCAGCAAAGAGGAACAGGATCTATTTACCGATGAGGATGTCGTGTAGATCGGAAGCTATTTCGCCCCGGCCAGTTTTACGTTCTCTATGATGATGAGAACCGACAGTGCCACCGCCGTCGTTCTGCACGAATTCCGGCCGATTGGGTACCTCGCTCGAAGCGAAATCCACCTCGACGTTAGCCGACGCGCTTGCCAACGCAGCGGCCGTCGTCCTCTGAGAACCCTTGCTTGAACGTCTACCGGATAATCGGCAGGAATCGGCCAGTTGCAAACTGACACGCAGCAAGTCACCACGGCCTTCACCGACCGCGATTACACGTGGATGATGGGAAGCGACCATTGGTGCAAACGCCACAACTTCCGGATCTAGACTCTCCACCAGTAAATGGTAATCGCTCACAGCGATTTCCCTGAGGGGTGTACGGGTACTGTCCGAGAACTCCACGTCAATGTCCAGCAATCCTTCCTGTTGGTATACAATAACAAATTTGCTTGCTCATGCAAGTTTTGTTTTGATCATACGCACGCACGCACGCACATACATATATGTATATATTAGATTGAGTTATAAATAATTTCCGTTTTAGTATATGGATTTTATTTCTCAATAAAAAAACAAGAATTATATCTTAATTATTAATTGTTTGCAATGATTTGTTATCATTCCACCTATTGCATTCCATCAATGATTTTAAAGCTTCATGAAAATTTGTTGAGCGCCGACTGATCTAGGTTCATCTTTTAATGTATCTCCAGCATGAAATTTTGTAAACTTATTTCATAACGTATAATAAATCAACCTAACTAAGACTCCTTATAAATCAAAAAACAATGAAAGAACAAGGGCAGTAGGAGTCAAGCGCGGGAGATGACTATCGTAGCGTAATGCGCAAATAACATGACTATCGTAGCGTAAAACTTCTTTATTTTACTAAAGCGCTTACATGTTTCGGCTCATTTTTGAGCCTTCTTCAGAGATAACTAATAAATTCACATACATGTAAATGAGCCGAAACATGTAAGCGCTTTAGTAAAATAAAGAAGTTTTACGCTACGATAGTCATGTTATTTGCGCATTACGCTACGATAGTCATCTCCCGCGCTTGACTCCTACTGCCCTTGTTCTTTCATTGTTTTTTGACTTATTTCATATTTGTTTGTCAGTTATGACTACTTATGACTCCTTGACCAACATATATCTCATCGAAATAAATATAAAATCGATATATCCAGAATAAAAATTGAATGGATCAACATAATTTAATAATATTTTTTAGCTCTTTAAAGTTCTTTAAAAAAATCAATATTAATATAAAATAAAAAAAAGATAGAACATAACTTTTTCAATAATTAATTATTTCACTTCACAATTCTGAATTTAAATTTCTCAAAAATATTAAAGTATTAAGTTATTTAACTCAACAATTACTTTTCAATTGACTTTTCTAAATTGTAAATTTTGCAAAATTGCTGTTTTTTTCTCAAGATACATTTGAAACTTCGACACAAATAATAAATATTGTACCTATTAACAATTTACCTGATATTGGGCGGTCAATCTTCTCGTAACCGAGGTTTCGGCAACGTATCCGTTCTCGATCGCAGTATCTGGACTGATACTGAGTTGAAGTCCGGATACCACCCGGACAGACAGACGTGTCACAGACACGCGATCGTTGCCGACTCTGATTTCCTTCGCGCCGATGACTCTACCGGTGATCGGTGACAGTACCTGCACCTCCGTGCGACCCACTCCGCGTCCCTGGACCAATCTACCTTGAAGAAGCGTCGCTATTCTAGGATCGGAGACGCGCAGCATGCCGACTACGAGGTCAGTGACGCGCAACCAGGTGCGCCGATTGACAAAGTACGAGACTCTACCCGAATCGTGATCAGTTGCTAAGAATCGGGCGTGTACCTCAACCGGACTTTGCTGGAAACGCAATCTGCAATTAGCCGGAGATAGATTCCGATCGATAGAGTTGATTGTATCCCATCCGTGATCATTCCCATTAGATCGGAATCGTTCCTCATGCTCATCCTCCTCGAGCAGTTCGTCCGGATCGTCCACGTCTATAGACGTGTCCTCTATCGACTCTTCCAGATCAACGGCGCTTCTCTTCTTCGCTCGTGCTGTTACCAGTGGTGTTTCTAATGGCATTATCGACGTTGAAGCAACTTCCGTCTTCTGTTCGATCCGCGTCGCATTCAGCAAACTTCGCTTGGTCTTCGCACTTGCTACATGCTCCTCCGGCACCTTCCAACCCTTTATTTGATTCAACCGTGTGTCTGCGACGCTTACTTCCAATGGAAATTCAGGCATCCACACGGTGAATCTTGCTAGACCAGTATACGTGCCGTATTTGACGAGGACCGATGCGTTACTAGAACCCCGGATCTCCGAACCATCCACGTACACGCTACTGCACGAGGATGATACCTGCGAATTTAGGTATTCGTAACAACGATCAAGTATTAAATGTAGTTTGATCCTACAACCACAATAGTTTGTAATGCACGGTTTGAGTGTAAAATACCAGGGTATTGAAAGTATCACTTAATCCGTCGATTATACAGGGTATTAGGAGTTTGAAACTCGTGGACATTATCTTATACTTTTAGGATTTAAATGATATTATAAATGTTAGATATTGTTATATAGAATAATATATTATGTAAAACTAATTTCTATTTGAAAAAGATTCAGTATTTTAAAAAAATAAATTCATATAATTAAATGCATGTCCAATTTCCAAATTCGAACAATATGTAAAATAATCGTATTGACATATTTCTCTACTGCATATGTAGGAATAAAATATATATAAAGTTCTCTAAAAGTTATTAAACACGAAACATAATGATAAAAATGAAAAAGCAGCGAATTCTACTGAAGGTATATAATACCAAGATTTCTTCAATTAAATTCCTAAGAATTTAAGTGAGCGCTGCAAATAAATTAAAAAGCAATTACCTTGAGGACACTCTCGTCCTCGGAATGACAGGACGACTGCAGCGTAACATCGGCGACCGTGCCGGCTTGGCTCACAATGAAAACCTTCATCCCCTGCGACACTTGACGTCCCGTCAACACCGCTGTATTCATCACCTCCCAGTTCTGAAGCAAAACATAAAACGTTCCCTCGCTTGCCGAATAGAAACTCATATATAGCTTAAACTACACTCCAATTTTTTTCATATCTAAAGTCCTATTCCTATTTTTAATAGTTTGAGATGAAAGTATGCATATATTTTAATATATGCATTTCTATAACCTTCATTGATAGAGCCATTATCCATTATTCATAACTGTTATCTATTTTGCCTCGAACTTTATTCCGTTATCGTCGTGACAAGACAAAAGGCGCGATAAGCAATATTAAAAAATATGTATATGAATCACCGAAAACATAAAATTCAAAAAACATAAATTAAACAGAAATATGCAAAATATATATATAGAAAAATGTTAAATTTATCTCTTTCCTAAAAATATATAATAGTTTATATTTTTATAATGCACACACACAAACACAACAATTTATTCATTTTATAAAATATTATGTATATGTACGTGTATACATAATATCTTAAAATACACGTTAAAGTACACATGTATACATATATAATATTTAAAAATAAATAACTGCCATTACAAAAATATAAACTCTAAGAAAGAACTAAATTTTTAAGATAATCCACCACACACAAGATACGTTGAGAGATGCGACTTAATTATATATTAATTTAAACATTTTAAGACCGTACTATGTGAGAAACATAATTAATAATAGAAATTCAAAGGCCTATAACGGTTGAAGCTAGATCTATAACGCTTTTTAAATAATTCAATGTGAATTATATATCCTATACTATACGATGTACTTGCATATATAACATGTTTGTAGTCATTCAAACTGCGCGCCGAATTGATTTTCCGGACTTATAAACGCAATTAAACTACTGGAATAATAACACGAAACTAAATTAAATTGACAAGCAATTCTTAAATAATTTTGATGTACAATCAGGCATCATATTAGTAAGATGTTAATGTGCTGAAAAACTGTAAATAAATTTATTGCGAAAAATATTACCTCGGCCGAGAGTCGAATCCGGATCTCTTACATTCCGTGTGAGCGTCCTCTTACCAGTTATATATAATTTAGGATATATAATTCACATTGAATTATTTAAAAAGCATTATAGATCTAGCTTCGACTGTTATAGGTCTTTGAATTTCTATTATTAATTGTGTTTCTCACATAGTACGGTCTTAAAATGTTTAAATTAGTTTATTTATGTCGCCTGAAAAAGACGTTTCGTATATATGCCAAATTTGCAAAAGATATTACTAAGGCCTCGGTGGTCTAACTGGTAAGGACGCTCACACGGAATGTAAGAGATCCGGATTCGACTCCCAGCCGAGGTAATAATATTTTTCGTAACAAATTTATTTACAGTTTCTCAGCACATTAACATCTTGCTAATATGATGCCTGATTGTACATCAAAATTATTTAAGAATTGCTTGTCAATTTAATTTAGTTCGTGATATTATTCCAATAGTTTAATTGCGTTTATAAGTCCGGAAAATCAATTCGGCGCGCAGTTTGAATGACTACAAACATGTTATATATGCAAGTACATCGTATAGTATAGGATATATAATTCACATTGAATTATTTAAAAAGCGTTATAGATCTAGCTTCGACCGTTATAGGCCTTTTAATTATATATCTTTTATTATTTTTTAACAATTGACCATGCGATTGCAAGGAGACATTTGTTGGACGGTGGTATCTTTATCACTATATGTGTAGAAATGTTGGAGGAATGGCGAGAGAAATAAATTCTTCGTATTTTTAATTATAGGAACCGTTATAAATTATATTCGAACAGTCAATTTATGTTTATATTAGGATGTTCGATATTTTTGTAATTTGCGACTTTTTTATATATTTTTATGTTACTGAAGATGACCTAATGAGGATCGAAACGTTTAGCATTATATTGAAATTATTTTAATATTAAAATTCATTTATTAGCACTTAATATATCCTGCATTGACTCGTAGCCTTTATCATCTAATTTGTTTTTAAAATAAATTTTATACAATTTAAAATTGATTATAATCTTTAAGATATTTAAAATATTTCTATAAAACGAGAAAGAAATAAAACAATATTATCTCTCGTTTTAACAATTTCGTTTGATTATACTTTTGAAAAGAACTCTTGCGGGAAAAGCACGACTTCTTGATCTTTCATGGAAAGCAGAACTTCAAAGCAGTACAAAAAGCTTGTCTCAGTTATAAGTAAAATCATCTCACTATATAAACCGATAAAACTATCGATCTTTTCTAATGGTACATATTTTCTCAAATAAGGAAAAAGTTGTTACCGTAAAGAAGTTGATCCGCACATTTCCAAAATAAGCCATTAATTTATAATCTAACGATTTAACATCGTGAAAAGTTTAAATGAGTTCAAAAATGAGAACCAACGGATTTCCGTGAACTCGTGCAGTTATTTTACAACCGTTGAAGACTTGTTCTTGCTGCTTGCCGCGATGTTGCTCGTACACGTGGAAGATTACTTGCCACGTTTACACGTTTTACGTGTATGCGTCGTCCGTGTACTTTACACTAGTTCGTCAACGGGGGAGTTCCGCAAAGGGGTTGGTTGGGTAGGGTCGGTCGGCCAGACTAGTAAACCATTTCCAAGTTCGCTTCCGTCCATACAGACCGGCAGCCTTTGGAAGGAACATCAAACGGCTCGGATATTGCAGCGAGGGAATTTAAATCCCTGACGCCACGCTGGGGTGTATGCGCCAGCTAACTATACATATACTATATCTCTTGCGTGGACGAGCGTGCTCTCTTGCAATGATAAAAGCAGCGGGCGGAGTTTACATTCGAAGGCGAAACGCGGCTCCTTCTCTTTCTTTCGTCAAATATTTTCTCATCTGAACCAAGACTCACGAAAATATTTACGAGACTAGACTACACGTCCGTGTACTTTGTATCTCGCCTTGCAGAATGCGTTGTTCATGAAAGAAACACGAGAAATTCCTTTGAGAGGAATCACTTGTTACTGATACTTGTTACTTTTGATTCAGTTTCTACTGCGTAATGTATACAAATTGCTAATAGAAAATATAAAGAGTTCAATATTGTACTATTTGACGGTTTTCAATTTAAAAAAAAATGCATAAGAAAGATATTTAAAACTGTTTGCAGCATTTCCAATATTTCTGATATTTGTGACATCATTTTTTTTCACGTAATTTAAGAAAACATTTTTATCCTTCGCGAGCACACTTAATCAAAATTTATTAAAGTTATTTTCCTATTATATTTGAATTTTTCAAACTTTTATTTGGAAACATCAGAGGATTAAAGTCGGTTTTACTCTTATGTGAAAATTTATAATTGAATAGCGCTTTCTTTCCCTTAACTTTCTATATTAATCATTTGCAACAATACCGGGCTAATAATGGTCTGAGATGCGATTAATGGCGTGTAATTAATTAAGAGTTTTAGAAATCAGCTAAAGACTATTTTATTTACTATACGAATTTCTGGTTTACTTTCTTGATTCCATAAGAAATGTCAATCTTCAAATTGTAAAATTCTTCAATTTAAGATTGTTGAAGTAAGCTTTAAGCAAATCTCTCATGAGAAGATTTAATATAAGAGAGAAAAAAATTGTTGATAGCTCTCAAATTAAGATCGAATTGAGACAATTTAGAATCATATTTTTTTATGTAGTAATAAATTTTTCGCTCAAAGTATTTAGAGAAAAGAGATATTATTATACATATAATATATTTGTAGATTCTTATATGTGTTGTATGTGTATAATTCAATGTAATTAATTTACTCTCTACGGAAAAATGTGCATATCGTTTTTATCTTCAGCTATGTATTCTTTTTAATAGCTCAAAAGATTGACCCATTGCAATTTTGAAGAGTGTAATATGTGCAATAGTGAGTAAAGCTTGACGCATGAATTTAGCAGTTTAACTTTCATAAATTTATATTTTAATACATGAATGAAGCACACAGTTATTTTCCAGATATTTCTGAGATCAACGAGGTTATTCTGTGAGTTTATTAAAACAACATGGAAAACATTTTCAACGTAGAATGATGTTTTATCGACGGTGAATGGAAGGAGGTTGATGGATATAAGAGAGATGCAAAGATTTTACGTTGCTGTGCGTAAAATATGTACAATATACGGGTTATTACTTTGATAAATTTCAGCAGAGAAAACAAGCGCGCGTGTCAGAGGTCGCTAATTGATAAATGAGATAATTAATTCGTTTACATATCCTTTTGAAGGCGCCGCGTGCTCGTTCTCTCTCGTTCGCTCGTTCGCGTAAAGTTGTCGGGAACTTCGTCCGCGCTTCTTGATTATCCTTACTCTAATTGCAGCTCCTTCCACGCGCGAGACTGTGTGAGTAAAGTTTTTAATTAAAAGAGACCTCGCGCAACCTCTTTTCTCGATGCCTTCGATCTTTACCCTGCATTATCCGCCAATATTGATTCCAGTTTTAAGATCGACCTTATTAATAGCACTGTCAAATTTGAGAGAGAGAGAGAGAGAGAGAGAGAGAGAGAGAGAGAGAAAGATTTGACTTATAGATACACTTACTGACAAAAGTTAAGAAACAAAGTAATTGTTTGAGAATTACTCTATATTATTTATTGTCTAAGATACACAGGTTGGAACTAAAAATCATATAATGAGGTAATAGTCCATACACCAATAAACAATAAGTTTTTTCTCAAATATACTTGTATGAAGATCACAATTAAATTAAATTGGAGAAACAAAACAAAAGATGTGTGACAAAAATTAAGAAACATACATTAAATATCAACTTTTAACATAAACAATGATGTGTAAATGTCTGTAATTTTTGTAATAACCTTAGGTTATTAGTAAGATGTTGGAAAACCCTTGGATTTGAGAACTGTCTGACATCTACGTGGCATTGATTCGATTGGTCGAACACAAAATTCGATCGGTATTTCTGACCATATTTTCGTGATTGTTTCCATTAATTCTACTTTATTAGTAAAAGAATGACTTCCCAATTGACGTTCAACGTGATCCTATAAATGTTCAATTGGATTCAAGTCCGGGAATTGACTTTGGCTTAATTATATTGACATTTTGTTCCGTAAGAAATGTCTTAATTAATTTAGAAGAATGTTTAAGGTCATTATCGTGTTGAAATGACTACTCTGATGGCATTTTCTCGTTGGCAAATGGCAGCGTATGATTTTGTAAGATGTCACGATACACAAATTTATCCATTGTTTCCTTTATTTGTATTAATAGACCAGGACCGCTATACGAGAAACAACACTACACCATCACATTACCGCCACTATCACAAATTTTACGGTTGGTTTTAAATATTTAACATTAAACCGTTGTCCGGTAGGACGTCGCACGTTATTTCTGGAGTCATTTCCAAATAAGTTAAATTTACTCTCATCACTCCATAAAATGTTTGACCATTTAGTAGCAGTCCAATTAATGTGCTCTTTGGCAAATTCCAAACGAACTCTTAGAAATAAGTGGTTTCTTGCTTTGCGTGAAAAAAGATTATTCTCATCTAAACGATGGCTAACTGTCCTGCTGCTAATGCTGTGCAGACCCAAATGATTTTTAATTTCGGAAGCAGTGTAAAATGGATTGAATTTAGAGAGCCTTGTAATTCAAGTTCGACGATTTTGCTTTTGAGTTGTTTTTTGCGGTTTCCCAGTTCGTGTCGTTTTAGTTGCGTAATCTTAAAAACGTTTTATAATTTTCGTGATAATACAACGATTCACATTAAACACTTTTGCAATATCAATTTTTTTTTACCATTGTTAAACATTTCAACTATTCTTTGTTTTTCAATTTCAATTAAACGTTGCCTTTTTGCCATATTTTAACGTAAATTATGACACGAGCTACACATAGCAATGTCAGAGAAAAGACTGAGCATCGTCGAACATGTTTGTTTACATTCTTTTCTCCACTTAGAAACGAGATGTTCTTATGTTTCTTAATTTTTGTCACACATCTTTTGTTTTGTTTCTTCAATTCAATTTAATTGTGATCTTCATACAAGTATATTCGGGAAAAGACTTATTGTTTATTGATGTATAAACTGTTATCTCATTATACGATTTTTAGTTCCAACCTGTGTATCTTAGAAAATAAATAATATAGAGTAATTGTCAAACAATTACTTTGTTTCTTAACTTTTGTCAGTAAGTGTATGTATAACAAATTCGCAAAATTAATAACTCATGATATTATCTACAAAATGTCGCAAAGAATTGTCTAACATTAATTATCTTTTATTCAAAGTCTTTAGCAACAATAATGATAAAAATCATCCGTCACACTTGTAAATTTTTCATAACATATGTCTTTAAAAATAACATTTAAAAATTAAAATTTTATTTGTAAAAATAGAATCCACTTGCAAAGTTGTCTATAAATATTATTTTACAAGACATACTGCTATTGTAAAAACGCATCATACAACTTTTCATTGACCAGTTTAACACGGTATTTTAATTCTTCAGCAATTATTATATGAATCGCGTAAATATCTTTCTTGCAATTAGTTAATTGTCTAAGATTCTATTCTGGGTAAATATGTCTGATTATCTACGTGATTTCATGTTGACTTTCATACACAGAATTATGTACTATGCACCTGCTATCGCGTTACTGGAAATTGTGAGCATGTCATAGATAATGTGGAACGGTCAGATCTAATTTACATACCAAGAGGCGTGTGTTCTAATTGCGAGGACTTGTTGTGGCGCGGCGTAAAAAATAATTACGAAAACCACATTTAACTGTCATATATAAATATATAAGCACCTCGACCATCGATTTCAATTTCTTTTTAGAATGAAATTCGATAAAATTTCATTAGAAAACAAATTGGTCTCATTACGAAAATATTCGTTATTGCATAATATTATATATGATTGAAGAAAATAATCGAAATAGGTTAATCATTTACAACAATTATTATCACTATTAAGATATATTCAGAACCACATTATTTTTTTTATATATGTTACACATTTCTTACAAATTAAATAAAAAATTAATGTTTCACTCTATATATTATCTATACATTTCACTTTATAAAGGAACGCAGAGATGCGTTGACGCCGTTCAATGTGTGGCAATCAAAAATTTCATTACGATCCGTTGTTACAGCAGATGCTCTGCGGTATCGATGGAATTTTGCCACGGACTAGAAATATCGCCGTTATGGTGAAGGCGCGGGCGCGGAAAAGCCGAAGAGAAAAGCATCAGAGTGTTCGCCGTGGGAGCCAAAGAGGGAAAAGCATTATCCTTTGTCGATCTTCTCTCTCTCTCTCTCTCTCTCTCTCTCTCTCTCTCCCTCCCCCTTTCTGTCTCTTTTCACAAAGCTTTTCCTTTTTCTCATCGCTTTTCCTTTCTTTTTCTCTCTTGTCTCGGTACTCGCGAGGATCGTAGATTGGCCGACCGAGTGGAAACAGATTCTCGCGCGGCGAGGTGATCGATATACGCGACCGTATTGATCGTGCTCGTCGTTCGAGTTAGCTCTTTTCCAAGGGATTTTCACCAACGAAAAGTGAAGCACGAGGTGCAGGAGACGAAAGACAAAGAGTGCATTCCGAGTTACGCATGAAGCGCATGATGCATCGTTGTATCCTTCTTTATTAATTGATAAACAACAAGGATAAATGATGCATCATGAGCTTCATGCGTAACTCGAAACGCACCCAAAGAATGTCACGATGAAAATAATCGTAATCGAGAGAAAAACATTAAAATGCTCTCTAACCAAAATCACAAAAATCCTTCAAATACAGTACTTTTCTCTACGATGTCTCAAAATTCTTGATTTTATTACTATAGTCATAGATTATGACGTAAAAAGCGTAAAATCTTTTTTGTAGTCTATAACATCACATATTTTTGTAACTTAAATTTTACATTAATATTCTACTTATCTATGTAAAAAAAATATAATTTTATACTACTGAAATTCAATTCGTAAAAAGGCTTTCTTTTCAATCGCTTGAAAAATATCTATGAAATTATTCGTGTGTTTCAATATTTTCGCTAAAGAAAACTGTCTCAAAACTGATTAAAGAATCCGTCGTTAAAAATAATATGTGAAAAGTAAGCTATCTTGTAGATACATATGTACTTATATACAGGGTGTCCCATTTTAATGTCTCAAATAACTTTTTTACTTTCGATCTTAGAAAAAATGTTTCAGACAAAAGTTGTGTGACTTTGAGGAGGACATAAGATGGTGTCATTAGTTTGACCTTGAATAGTTGCTTGAACGTCATGTGAGAAGGTTACCTTCAATTTCTTAAACGGAAACCCTTATTTTTCATTGCATATTCTTGTAGCTTACCTCGAGAGCTTTAAAAAAAAAAACACTATAATAAAATATTTAGAATTTAGAAGAATTTAGAAGAAATTTAGAAGAATCGCGTATTACCTTAGAGATCGGAAGCACCGCTTGTATATCATCCTTCTGTATCTCTAGCCGTGCCTGCAGTTTCCGTCTCTCGACATGATGATGATGATGGTGCTGCAGCTGGCGTTGCTGCATTCGCTGTTGCTGATCGACGCCCGTCAACTGCGAGCCGTTCTCCTCCTCGCCTTCGAGCGCGTAACGCACGCTCCATACAATTCTACCGCCGTCCCAGCTTCCGCCTATACCTTCCTCGCTAGCCTCCAACAGCATCGTCATTATTTCTTCTGCGGACCTAAAAAAAAAGAAGAAACAATGATCTTTGAAATGTTCACGACATTCTCGCAAAAAATTAAAGGACGCAGATTACTTTTCGAAAAATAACGAGTTTTCTTGAACCAAAATTTCTGATAAAAATGTAATAATTACATTAGAATAATAATGCAATAGGAATTCATATAAATTCATGATAAAACGATTTTTTAAAAGCGTCGAGGATATGACTGTGAAAATTGTATCTCACATTTGATAAAGAAGATTCGAACGAATGTTCGTTCATTCACTCGTGTAAGTACTACACCTTCAATGATTAATGCCATTCTCTTCCAAGTGGGTTCGCGAGAATGAGTGCAGAAATTAAAAGGAACGATAACTCGCCTGTTAGTCGGCTGTTACATCGCAAATACGAAAAATTGTACGTCATTACAAAAATTTAATGATTCTCTTGCGCGAGGGACTTTGTATTTTCTTCGACATACGCTTTAAAAGCGTTTCTCTAAAACGTCTTTACTTGTTCCTGTTTCCAGCTACACGCGATCTCCTGTCTCATTCATATTTTACGACGAGAAATGGGCGATGTCGGATTAAAGTTACCGTAAAATGAGCACTTTTCACGAGAATTATGAATTAAAGCACAATTAAGTATGCATAGACATGTAAATGTAATTAGATTCGTTAAGACATACAAATTTATCGAATTCCATAAACCATTCTTTACGATGTTAAATTGTGAAAAAATATATCTTTTCAAAATAAAAGTGTAATTATTCCAAAATTAGATCGCTAATACGCTAAAAACTGAGGTTGTAAACTGAGGTTGCATTTCAAAATTGAATCAGACACTGTTATTAATAGTTTTTTTAATATCTCAATTTTATATACGAGTTATATACGGAATGAAAATCACTAGATAATAAAAAATCTAGCAGTATATTTAATGACATAAACTGCAATAACTTTTAAAACAAAAATATGAAGGATACTTTATAATAAACCAAGCAAATAAAAATATAAAGATTAAACAAAAAATAATACTCCTTTACTAAATATTCCTGAAAAATATTTATACGATACATTTCAATCTTATTTTCTCGTTCAAATTGAGAAATAGTTTTTGTTTTTTCACACATAATAATTCGTTAAAATTAACTTGAAAGATCATTGTACAATATATCGTTCGCAATAAATTTGAAATAATAAAATATATGTAATTTATAGTCTATAATGATAAGTAATAGTACTTTTGAATCATTATCGAAAGATGCTGTGATAAGCGGAATAAAGTTACAATAGTCATCAAATTTAAAAGTGTAAATTGCTATCGAGTTGCCATCAGAGATGATGATGAGTTCGGTAAAGAGTTAATAATATCCGCCGAGAGTTGGATTTTCTCTCTCGACGCCATCCGTAATTCTCGATAGGGTTTTTTCTTCTTTTTGCCGAACACTCTCTTAGTAAGCATCTCGTTCACAGCGTCAGTCGCTCATTACGTCTTCTCGAGATTCTTATCTTATCGAGATGAAGGCAGCGACGTTATTTCAAAGTAATTATTCTGCAGCCTCGAGCCACTTGCCTAGCTATGAAGAGCCGGTATCACACGCATCGGGTCTGATCTCGATGCGAGAGCCGTCGCGTTCGCTACCAGCGCGCGCCGCGTAGAATCTCGATAAGCGGAACCCCCGGCTAAAGTCGCCCACCTCCTCCTTATCGCGGCCGTTGATCCACGTTGCGTGCGTGCCAGGCGGCGTTAACCCTTCGCTCGGGTTCGCTCGTGTTCGCACGATCGATGATTCGCGGCTGAGGCGGGTGCAAATTCTGCAAATCGCCGATCTTGCGAAAGCACGCGCGAAGCTGCCGGAGTTCGAAGTCGAATCGAAGCGGACCATCAACGAGTTAACGGCGATAACGAAAATCTCTCTTTGCTCGCTCGGATTTCCCCACCTTTCGCCTTCCGTCCTCTGCTTCTCCACCGATTTCAGCACGCATCGAATCGTTACGTCAGCAATAGCGTGTTTCGCCCGATGACTCCTTTTTTTATCAGCGTTTCGCAACCACGGTATATATAAAGCGACCATCTGACCGCCATCGCGAGTATAAATCGCCTTTCTAAGTTGCACGATCGATTATGCGTCGTGGTGCGCTATTTTTTTTCGCGAGTTTTCTCGTGGGATTCACAGCTACACACGTTGTCTGGGCGCAAGATGTGCAAGATATGCAGGATCAGAATGATGTGTTAACAACAACGACGACGACAGTGATCACGGTCAATAACACTACTACTATAGACGAAATAAAGTCCGACAGTTCGAGCTCATCTAGCGAGGAGAAAGTTGCTGATAAGCGTACAAGGAGAGACTTGTACCTTAGCAATAAATGGATGTCTCTGGAGAACGAGGAGCAGTTGGAAGAGACGAAGGAATTTGAGCGTGTGAGACGTACAACCAAGGGGAAGAAAGACGACGACGATGACAGCAGTAGCTCTTCCAATGATGACGATGATGAAAATTGTTGTAAAAAAAGCAAGAAACAACGTGTAAAATCAAAGAAAGATAACGGTGAAAATTGTGATGATGATGATGATGATGATGATGATGATGATGATAATGGTTGTAAGAAACGATTCGTGAAATCGAAGAAGAACGATGAAAAAAATGACAACGAAAAGTGTGCTTGCAACAATGATGATGATGATGATGATGATGATGAAGAGAATAGGAAACAACGCGTAAAATTAAAAAAGGATAACGACAATGACGATGAAAATTGTGACGACGACGATGATGATGATGATGATGATGATGATGATGATGATGATGATTCATCTTCGTCTTCTTCATCATCCTCAGAGGAGGACAAGAGAAAACGAGAAAAGAGGCATATTAAGGAGGATACTTTGCAAAGTATATCATCGCCCGAAGAAAAGAAAAATAAACAAAAAGATCGATTTATCCAAACGATTGAGGATGCATCGAACAGCAATTCGTCTGAAGAGGAGAACAATCCGAAAAGTCGACTTATCAGAGGGGTCAAGGTTAACACGGAAAGCGGATCGTCATCCGAAGAGGACAAGCCAAAGAACTTGCGATTTATCCGAACAGTTGAGGATACTTCCGGAAACGACTTGTTCAAGGAGAAGAACAAACCGAAGAATCGATTTGTCAGAACGGTCGAAGATACTTTGGACAAGAGTAAATCATCGTCCGAAGAGAAGGACAAACTGAGGAATCGATTTGTCAGAATGCTCGTTGATACTTCGAAAGAGAGTAAATCGTCCTCCGCGGAAAGGAATAAACCGAAGAACCGTCTTGTTCGGTCAACCGAAGATTCCATGAGCGAATCGTCATTTGAAAAAACGGGTGAAGCCCCTTTCTTTATTCGCGCTTACAAAGTTGAAGATGTCAGTCAACCGCAGCGTACCATAAAGCAAATCGACATACCGCACAATCGAGTGATTCGGTCAAAGGATGACAAGAAAGAGAAAACGAAAAAGAAGAAAAAGAAAAGTACAAAGAATACAAAGACGAAGCGCCATTGCACGCCTAAGGCGACTACTGTGAAAGCAGATATCTTAGATCAAACGACGCTATCATTGGAACATCTTCCAGTTTGATAGGATTAATTTTGGTACTATATTTCTTTAACATTAAAAATATAATACACAAAGAGGTTGCATCAAGTAATGTAATTTAGAATAGGTATTGTTACTTGTGTGATTAGCTAAACTCTTTAAATCATAATAAATATACTCAAATAAACAAATTTATTTAATCTACTCTGAAATATCGTTAAAGACTTTTGCGAAAAAATAATAGGTTTATATATATTATTAAATGTAAACTTTATATATTTAAAAATAAATTGATATAAAAAAATTCAATTGTTAAATATTAATCTATATTAAAATAACGCTTTGTGATAAAAGATGTTAATTTAAAAATAAAAAAGCCAAATTTTATGCACTATTGAAAGCGCAATTTAATAAGTCTTAACTTTTCAACGTTCGTTCGCTTGAAAATTCTTATCTTATTCGATTTGCAGCAAGACCCAATTCGTTCATATTCTCGGTTTAACGAACGGAAGCGAGGGATTTAAATTGCTCATTACATTAACTGCCCTCATGTTCACAATTCCAGTAAGAGTCTTTCTAAACTTGCCGACGTATGTCGGCTTAACGAGGGCAGATTGCGCGACAGGATTATTCCAAAAGGGTACTTACGTGCTCGATACACGCGACGAGTTCTCCTTACGTCGCGCTGTGAATGTGGCGGCTGTGTTCTTCACATTGACATCGCTAACGACAATCCAGTCCGGGCTGCTAGATGAAGCATCCAGGATTTTCACGCCGGACTTTACTCGCGCTCTGGAACATGCCGTAAATATACGGTTCAAACGTAAGTCAAGTAATGAATGGTAAGAGTGAAATGAAAGGCTAATGACATTAAATAGAAAAGAATCTTCTACAAAATATATAATTAATCCTTTATTCCCTACAAAGATGAATATATCTCGTTGTCTGTTAATTTGAGAAGAGAACATTCCAAACGATCGTTTAATAACTTTATACATGTAATCGGTTGTTATGTAACGCAAAAATGTATCGTTGCAATTTGGATTTACATTTATTACATATAGAACTATATTATATTTTCGAACGCCCGATTCAAATAGCGTTTAAAAAATAGATTAATTAAGATAGTTTTCATGAGCCCGATCATTTTGCACTTTAAATATATTTGTATTCAAATATATATCAACATTTTAATGTTGAATAATCTGTATTTCGATATCTTTTCGATTCTTCGAAAGGAATATTTAACTGAATTTCATCAAGAAAATGGAAACGTTTTGCTTGGCTTATCCATTATTATTATTATTAAAAATATTATTTTAGACCGTTTATGTGAGAACACAATCAATATTAAAATGCCTATAATGGTCGAAACTGGATCTTTAATGCTTAAATAATTCAAAATCTTGAATTACTAAATATATTATATATGTACTTGCACATACCATATTTGTAGTCTTTCGAACTCCACGCCGAATTCTTTTCCGGATTATATTCATACAGTCTGGAAAAGAATTTGACGCGCAGTTATGATATATATGCAAGTACATATACCACTTTGATCAAAAAGTTCCCGGAATTACCACCAGGTGATGCTCTGAGTCAACTGATTTGAGTTCTGTGTTTTTGGTTAGGTTGCCACATCTATCATTGACATTTCCACCAAATTTTATCGCCATAGCTTGACATTTGTAAAAGTTACGCCGTCTTGAGTACATCTACCTCTGTACGGTTTTCGATTTTTCCATTACTTCCTTTCGGCTTAAAACGCGTTCCCCGTAGTGGTTTTTTGACTCGATCGAATAGAAAAAAATCGCGGGGAGCCATATCGGCTAAATTCGATGGCTGTTGGATGGTATTCGTTTCGTTCTTGGTCAAAAATTCACGGATGTTGCAAATTCAACTCCATTTTTAAAACTGTAAAAAATCGAAAACTGTGTAATATATCCAGTAATTCAAGGTTGAATTATTTAAACATTAAAGATCCGGCTTCAACCGTTATAGGCATTTTAATATTAATTATGTTTATCCATTATTGTTTTTGTAATTTTGTAATTCAATAATTTTAAGTGTACGCTAATCTTCCAATATATAGGAAATCAATTTTCAGTTAGTAAACCTTACAGAAATTTCTACTAACAACCTGCAATATTCAAATTTGATGTAAAAGTAAAGTGTGTTAAAGATATATTGCAAGATGATAGATTGTAAAGTTCAAAGGGGGATATTCCTCTTGCATGTATGTATGTATAATACATACATGTATAAAATACAATAAGTCACACGGAATAAAGTTCCAGAAGTGTTTCCTTCCAATGATGACTCATACAAGTCTATAATATTGCGCGGTACTTTTATTACTCATATTACATCGTATTGATCTACGTATTTTTTTCATCCGTATATATAGCTATGTTCTTCTGTCATTAAAAATGAATAAACGTACAGTTCTTCCGATGAGACCTATTGCCCTCATGTT